AACAGAGATAATATATTTCTAAAATATATTAGTTCAATTAACTAAATTGTACGATTAAATTATATATGTATAATAGGATTGAATAGCGCAATACAAATAGAGATTACATCGAGACTTTAAATTGGCGGTTGAATTCGAAATATTCGAAATCCCTGAACAAATATCGTAACGAGCGATTGCGAAATAATTATTCACATATCCGCTTTTAATACAATATTTAATATAATAAATTTATTATTCTTTTATCACTTTTTTTGAGTGTATAACAATTTTGATATTTACATATTCCGCGTATTATCCACAATGTAGACGGGATGAGCGTACTTTAACGGCTAATACAGTATTCCTATCCGCTTGTAAAATCATAAGTCCAATCTTTACGCATCAATGCAAATATGCATCAGAAGGGAGCTAACGATCTATTTTATTTATATAATCCGGGTGTATGTATCTGCGGTGCAATTTTCTCATCTAACTTTTGTTACACACAATTTCATCACCGTCTTTATCGTCTTCGTCCGGCCTGGCCTCTTGAGCCTTTCATATCCCTCCTTTCTGCATCTTGCCCCATCCCTCCCTCCATCTTCTCACTTTTTCCTCGTGTCGTCCTGCTCGTACTATCGCCGCCGCACCGCAGGATCGTAAAAGGCCGGAATTTCTGTTCAAACATCTGCAAAGCCGCGCTCCGGGGCATCTGAGCCCCTCTAAAGCTTCATACAAATTCATGACGGAGCGCCAGGGCTGCGCGCGCGCCACACTATCCTCCAAGTTTTCGGCAGGGTGGGATAGAGTAGGTACATATGCATGCACATGCATACGTATCCACCTGGTATAGTTTGTAATATTATTTAATACCCTTTGCGCGCGCGTCTCACACTCTCTGGCGTCGGAGATCGTGACGCGGTAAAATTTCGTGGATTAGGGGTCTATTCTGTAATCTTTAACGATGTCGTTAGATATCATTGCGCAGCTATTTTCCGATACGTTTTACCTGCGCAATGACACGTAACGATATCGTTAAAAGTTACAGAATAACCCTCTTAGTCCCGACGTTTTATTAATAAACGTGTAGCATCACGCGTCTGCTTCCGGCTATACCGACCAAGAAGAAGTAATCCACTGGAATTAATCGATGGTTAACATGCAAACTATGTGGTAAAGACGTTGGACAAAGATAGACGCGTCGAAAAGAGATGTTAAGACTGACAATGAGTTACATATGTAATTATTATATTGCAAGATGCAGAAAAACGAATAATTAAATTGAAACTTGCAGATAGTGTATTGCCTTATATGGAGAATATATAATATATAAAAAATATATTCAGAATATATAAAATAATTTTTTTAAGTCTTTGTGACTCAAAATTTTCGAATGTTATGCGGGACGAAAAAGATGTAGCAGGACCTCTCAGAGGCGCAAGTTTTGTCTTGCCGGTTTCGTCTCTCATTTTTTCGTACCTATTATTTTTGTGACAAAGTACAGCGTTCAAATAACGATATCGATAACGTAATAAATATTTTCAGCTTTATATATATTGCGAATTGTCCATTACATTTTATATACAATATGCAGCCGTGCGCATTCAAAGCGTTCCTTTTGGCTGTTTATTTTTATTATTAATGTTTCCTTTGATGGTTTTACCACATACACGGAGTATATTATTTGACAGTACCGGATGGATTTCTGTTTTCCTCGCGCATCAAAAAATATTTTTCATATACTTCCAATAATTAATATTGTAGCAAAAGTCCATGTATATTTGTACCGCTTTTACCTTTTTGCCTCTGTAGGCGAGCTTTTATACGGCCGAGTGAAAGTTTCACTGCGAATCGTCCTTAAAAATAACTATCACTGTTTGCTCAATCCGATGTATCGATTTGCATCCGAGCTTTGACGTACCCGCTATCTAAATATTCCCGGGCTCTCGTCGAAGAACGGCGGAATACATTAATATCGGATGAGTTGATGGCGAAATGAACTTGTATCGAGAGGACCGATGCCGCCACGATCAAAAACTCATTGCAAATATTTTATCCGACATATTGCATCCGGGGTAGCTAAAAGAGGCCTGCTTGAGGCACATCAATCGATAGTCGATCAATGTTATGCTTTAAATGTCTGCATATGTTAAAGCAAAAAGTCATCATCGGAATTTCATATATTCTCTTTCGCATTTATTATTATTATTTATTTCTTATTTTCCATGCCATACAATGTTACAATTGTGTGATTAATGAATAAATTTAAGCTGTGTCTTGAAGTTTTTTTTCTATGCAATTATGTAATTATTTTATATTTTAATTATTTAATTATTTTATATTTTATTTTCATATAAACACGTAATCGTTCTTTCCAGATTTGCAGATTCTAATCATCGCGATTATGATCTTCGAAAATAAACGTATCTAATTAATTCGAAATTAGCGCACTCGTTGTTATACAGGTTTAAAATTAAAATTACTTTCACGCTGCAATATATTTTCGATATAATAATTAAAATCCAAAATGAGAAAGAATTATTTAGCGAGAAGTTTCTCTGCTGAATTGAAAATGAAGCGTTACTCTGAAAATTAAAATTTCGAATTTTTTTCCAGACTAAAGGTTATACGAATATTATTATTTCCATCTAAAACACAGTTTATCTCTCCGGTTAAATATCAAGCGTGGCAGTATTCAGCGGCAGCGGCTAGACATCGTATTAATTGAAACGATTAAACGAAGACGAAGCTGTTGCGAGGAAAGATCGATCGCTCGCATCGATCGAACATGTTTTTTTTTCACAAGATCTACGTCAATACTTTTTTCCGCTTTTACGCGCACGGATATCCCGGATCACTCGGCAGCCGATCGTTTTGCGGCCGGTTTATCGCTCGGTGTTATCCCGTCACTTGGTATCCACGGGATCTGCCGTTGTCTCCTTCCGGGTCCGGATTTCGCGCGTTCTCTCAATTATTCGCGCCGATCGATCGGCTTGCGCCTTGCTCTGCCAATCGGCGACATCGCACACCGTGTCCATTCTCCATGAGTAGAGCGCATGGCACGGCAGAGCTGGCAGGGCATGTGTCTCGTGAAAGAAACATCGCCGCCCGCTCTAATGGCCGGAGGTCGGTTAATCGCAACTAGGAGACAAGCAAAGCCGGAGTAAACCGGGTCAAAGATTTATGAACGTCACTTGGAAACGAGCGTATCGCAATCAGCGATCGTGGGTGGTTCGGAGCTTCTTTTCTAGCTCGCGTTTGTTTCGATTTTGTTAATTGTCATTATGGGGACGCGCTAAGCCTCTTAAGATTGACGTTGATTGCTCTTCTGCGATAGCCCGAAACTCGCGATCAGTCACGAGTGAGACACATACGTATGTGGCTTTACCAGTTAACGGTTGGATTACAATTATATATGAAATGTAAAATTATACATACTAATAGCATCATGAGAGAAAAATTTAACACGGTTTAAAAAGTTACGATATGATAGAAATATTTAAATATATCTGTTTGCTTCTTTTCGCTCCTTTTCGAGCAAATCATATTGGATTAAAGATTTATAAGCGGTAGAAAGCATTCTCGGAAAGAGGTGAATATCATGTCTAAATAACGAGAAGAAATTCTTTTTCTTTCTGTCGGATTTCCGGCGAGAAACTTCTTTCTTAGTCTAGCGAATTTCGTTCTCCCATCCATCGCATTATCGGTCAGTAATTTATTACCGAAAGTAATCTATTTCGAGATACGCGATCTATATAGACTGTATGTTTGACTACGTAACGTGGTCAAAGATTCAGAGAGAGATAAAATATCATTAGTTTACTTCGGGGCTTGTCCATTAGCAGATACGTTGATGGAATATATCACAAATATTGATCTTTGAAATTTTTCGATTGTATATGTCAATTTTATAAATTCTTGTCACGCAAAATTAAAAAATATGATCATTATTATAATATTCATTAGCAAAATTCTCGTTAGTTTTGCCGATAAAATCTTTCAAACCATCAGTTTGAAAGCATTAAAAAGTTACATTATTATTTGCTGTAATACATTACTGATTCAACATAATTATATCGAAGCAAATTGTTTTTATCGGAATTTTTCATAATGATAGTTTGATACCGCCAATTTCTTGTCACGATGGAGCGATTCTTTTGCTTCTTCTCTCTTCTTTCTTCCATTAACTCTCGTACCAGTTGTTTCTCTGCAATAAAAGAATGGCAGGTTTTGGTTGATGCAATGTAGACACGAAGCCAATACATCCATCTTCACCGATAATGACACCGAAAATCTTGATCACGCGAGTCGCGTCTAATACTTGCATCGTCATTCGCGACTGTCGCATAGCGATTTTGTACGAACTTGGTTTAACGAGAAAGATTTTAATGGTAAAAAGATCCTAATGGCATCGAATAAGTTTGACGAAAATGGGTGGATATTAACTTCGACTGCGTCTCTCTCGTCTCTCGTGACTCTCTTATAATTTTACTATAATTTTACTTTAAAAATACAAGTTTCGCTGCAAACTTTCACAATATAAACCAACCTAGATATCTAAGGGCATAAATCAGCCGGCAATAAAAACGTATATTCGGGGTTCTTGTAACTTTACTACTTTGGGGTATGGCGTAAAGTTCCCTATTGGATCGATACATCTGACATCATGCGATTTATTATAATCATGATCTTTATAGCAATCGTTTCACGAGTTGAATTTTTGATATCTACGTTATAGTTTCTATACGTCGTAAAAGAATTTACGTGTTTGTTTTGCATGTTATAAATTTTAGTTTTATATTAAAAATTTATTTTTTTATCTTCATGCATATTTTCGTGTAAATTATATATTTAATTACTAAACCAATTATTACTATTTGCTTAATCGTTTCGACTTTCGCGAAATAACAAAGATAAAACATTGTTTTATGTCAAGGTACCTACGTAAAGGTCCATAATTTCCTAAATTATATTTGCGCCCTCGACCAAGCTGAATCAATTTCCGCTTCTGGTTTCAGTGACCGTGTATGATGGCGAGCAATTAAACTTGACGCGGATCACGCGCAGCGAAATGGGCGCTTATCTCTGCATCGCGACCAATGGCGTGCCGCCCACAGTCAGCAAGAGGATCACCGTGGATGTCGAATGTGAGTTTGTTACAAGCATACCGTACATTATTATCGCGTTTGCACGTAACGAATATGAGATACGTACACGTTCATCGCGAATGGCATGTTGCCAGCGAAATTACGGATACAACGTGACGCGATAATTATAATGTTACGACGTTACACGCTGAATGTTGAGCAATAAACGCTTAACGATGTGGATATTCAATTCATGGATTTAGCTAAAACGCGCATATATGAAACGCTATAAAATATAGTAAAATATTCACGAGAAAAAATGAACACAAGATCATGTATGGGCTTATACGATCTTGTATAATTACATAAGTATAATTATATGGTCTTGTATAATTACATAAGTCCATTTTTTCTCGGATTATCTGTCAACCGTCATGTTTGATAAATAAATGTCATTGCTATTTAAAAACGTCAAAATTATACAAGATTATTACATAATGGATATAATAATTTACATATGTATAAATTATTATATAACAGAGAAAGAGAGAAAGAGATATAAAGATAGAGAGGAGAGGAGGCGGGTTGTATGTATGATAACGACATAAAATGGAATGTATAACAGTAACATGTTACACACATGTTGCGACTTAATTACCGTAATTAATTATGTTAATTGGTTGCGGCAGACATTATTATAATTTTGAACGCCAAATGTTCGTAAAATATCTTAACTTCCCAATTCATTCTCGTGCGCGTAAAATGTCGTAAATAGCGGCGCACGCACACGTGGCGCAAACTTTGCCGAGGAGAAGCGGCGCGAAAATTAGACATCCTCGTCGAGGAACGGCTGGAACGTATCCAACGACGATTTATCGAATAAATTTTAAACACTTTGTCATGCGCGACCTCCGATCCAACGGCAGGATCCTTCTCACCCGCTCGTGTATTGTTTAAATTTCATTTCACGAATTGAACACGCACATATACGCAGACACACATAAACACACCTGCGCGTGCACACGCCGCGCTGCATGCATAGCGGCGCACGTGCTGCGCTCCGAATACGTGTATCAGACAAGGCAGAAAGGGTGGTAGGGGTTCTCGGGGATGGGAAACGGAGGGAGACGGCGTCGGGGAAAACCCGAGGGAAATACCGAAAGCCGCGCGCAAGCCGTCCCGTCGGTCCTGGTCATTTTTCCCTTTTATGAGTTTCATTCGTTCGTGTCACTTCGTATGCTTGCAACCGGCTGCTGTTGCATGTCGGTGTGATACGCGTGCGTGCGAGACTTGACGTTGTTGAGGAAAGAAGAAACGGTATCTACTGTACGGCGCAGAGGCCCGGGCGGTATCTTCTGAATATTTAGGGAGGCGGGGGACATATTTTATTTAGACGAGCGGGGCGAAATCATCGGTTTTCTGCGCGCGATGCCCCGCGTTCCGGGTCACAACGGACGCTCGAGGAGTCGTCTTCGTGCGCTCCGAACGTACCTGATGTTGCGGCATGTATGTATACGCGCGTAGGGATTTGCGGTGTATATATATATATATATATATATATATATATATATATATATATATATATATATATATATATATATATATATATATATATATATATATATATATATATATATATATATATATATATATATATATATATATATATATATATATATATATATATATATATATATATATATATATATATATATATATATATATA